TAAAATGTGCATATTAATTACATTGAAGAGATTAATATCTACTTTAAAATGCTTTAAAAATTGGTAGCAAGTCCCCTGTCTAGGAGCAAGCTTTACTAAATTCAGCAAAACTCACTTCTGAGTACAGTATATAAGTACTGTACACTGTACTGTATATAGAACGTAGTGGGGCCAAAATAGACATGACACTGAGAGTACTAGTTATATTTTAAAAACCTATCCATAAACAACATTCATATAGTTAAGATCAAGTCAACTTTCAGAATATAGTTTATACAGGGAGGAAGCTCCTTCCCACCATGCTTGGTAGGAGTGGATGAGGCTGTGAAATGGAATCCTGTAATCCTGTGGGGGGTCAACAGGAAAAGAACCTAGATAACATGTTCTTGTCTTCTGAAAATGCTTTCCTGGCTTTTGGATGACATACTGATGATTTCTATATAAATGTGCAAGAGGAGAAAACACCATGGTTGTCCTGACGTGGACAAGAAGGAATGCATGGATCAGAGGTAGCCTAATCAGGGCAGGAGGGGAAATCCTAGCTGAAATATTTTCTTTAGTCATCTCGCATAACTTTTCATTGCGTTATGAGTTAGCTGAGTGGTCACCAGTACTGAAGCTGCAACTACACTTTGCTGTAGCTGGATTCACAGCCCTATCTATCTATCTATCTATCTATCTATCTATCTATCTATCTATCTATCTATCTATCTATCTATCTATCTGTCTGTCTGTCTGTCTGTCTGTCTGTCTGTCTGTCTGTCTGTCTGTCTGTCTGTCTGTCTGTCTTTAACAATTTTAAATACTTTATTTACTTAAAAGGACCCAAGGCAGCTTACATCATTAAAAGATAATATTAAAGCTAACAACAATACTATACGTGAGTATACAAATACAAAAAAGGATCAAACAAATACCACACAAAAAAACCCAAACAAACCATAAGCAACTTAGGAGTCCAATTCTCCACTGTCACTCTGTGAGAGGGGCTGGATTTGATGATCCATAGGGTCCCTTCCAGCTCTGCAGTTCAAAGGTTATTATTATTAAAGCATATTCAAAGCAGTGAAGTACAACAATCAATTAAAAAAACCCACTCAAGCAGCCAGTTACTGAGGGAAAGCTTGCCTGAAGAGAAAGGTCTTCACCTGCTTGTGGAAGGACACCAAAGCCTGCTGTGGGAGAGAGTTCCAAATTCTGGAATCGGCATCCCATGTACCCACCAAACACACCTGCGAAGATGGCGGGACTTAGAGGAAGTCCTCTCCTGATGATCTTAACACTTGAGCAGGCTCATAAAGGGAGATGTGGTCCTTGAGACAGCTTGGGCCTGAGCCATTTAGATCTTAATAAGTTACAACCAACACCTTTAATTCAGTCTGGAAATGGCTGGCAACCAGTAGACCTGCCCTCAGGAGAGCGGGGGTAATATGATCCCTGTGTCCAGCCCCAGCTAGCAATCTGGCTGCAGCATTTTGGACCTGCTGAAGTTTCATGACACTTCCCTTAGGCAACCCCACATAGAATACAGTAATCCAACCAGGATGTAAATATGGTGTGTGTCATCATGACCAAATCAGACTTCTCAAGGATCTGGCACAGCCGGTGCACTAGTTTTAACTGTGCAAAGGCGCTCCTGGCAACTCCGAAAACTGGGCATCCAGACTTGGGGAGGAATCCAGCAGCACCCCCAAGCTGCCCACTGGTGCTTTCACATTCAGAATTCTGCTTCCACTTGCTTTCAGTGATCACACAGGGACCGCAGATTGATTTGGAGCCAGTGGCCACACACTGATATACTGAGGTCCGTATTTCAGCCCCCAGCCCCCTTCCCTCCCTCCTTTCTTTCTTTCTTCCTCTCTTCTCATCTCTTGCTGTCAAGCCACTTGGTTTTTAAAGGGTTGCACAGTGTTAGGGAAAAGATGGCAGTTTTCTAAAGTTCTTAATGATGTACATAGAAATATACACACATACCACAGAAATGTAAGTAAATTTTTTTGTATTTCATTGGGGTTGTTTCTATTTTGTAGTAAATTGTTTGTTTTTTTCTGTGCAGAGGGGATCTAGCACTAAACTAGTATATCAATGCAATGACTCAGTGCTAAAACTCATTTAGTAAAAAAGATTGGGAACACTCCAGAGACAGGTTGCAAGTTCCCATGGCCTCTAAACATCATGTCCCAGCTGCCTGTGTCACTACAAAATCAACCAGAGACAAGCCCCAGTTCTTTAAGAACTGATCACATGAAATCCATCCAAATTCCTTCTGGCCTAAAAAAAAAACAACAACTAGAAGCCCCCAACAACAGAGGGGGCTCATTTGAATTGGCTTTTGCCAAATTATTCAAATCCATCCATATCATATCTACATCAAATTTCACAGTATTTGATCTTGTCGTTGCAAACTCAGCCGCTAATCAGGAAGTCCTTGGTTCAAATCATAACTCCAACTATCAATTTGTTACATGCCCTTAAGGAAGCAAGTCTTTCTCAGATCTATTTGAGGTTTTAGGAGAGTGATATTGGCCTACTTAGCAGGGTCACTTAAATAATTATTCAGATATATGCTTATACACCACCTTTCCTTATAATAGTTCAAGGCAGCTCACCACAAAATACAATGAGTTGGATCCAGACCTAGGATGCTTCTAAAGGAGGCTTTCGGTGCACAATTACACTGCCTCGTTCAAGACATTGTACAGGAGATCTAGGGCAAGTCTTTGGTTTGCAGCCTTTCTGCTTTCCTAATGTTTTCTCCATATTTTCTGATTTTTATGTCCATCATATTTTTCAGCCATAAGCTTCATGGAAAATGAAAAGTGACAGCTCTAGTCAGATGCCTGAGATTTAATTGGTAAAAATGATGGCCTGAAAAGTTGAAGAAGAACTTGGATAATTTGATGGCATAGGAAAGAAGCTACTGTATAATGTTCTCATTCACCAAGTAAAAAGTAACTCTTAAGCAGTGATGCCATCGTGTGGCAGTATTTTGTTTTGACATTTCCTTTCACTGGACAAAATGATCTGTCTGTCTATGAATAAATTTGAATCATGTATATACTGTATATGATTCTATATATAGAGAGGGGAGAATGTATCAAAGATAAAATCCACTAACATCTTTCTCTATCTCCCTATCTATATGAAAGAATATTCAAATATTGTGAGCAGTGATATAAAATAAGCACATCAAGTGATAGGGAAGGGTGCAAGCTGCTTCCTAAAGGATCAGTCATGTAATGTAGCCACAGCTCACATGGTCAAAGTCCTTAGACTTTCTGAATAGTAGGGACTATGATATCAGCTGCCTGCCCCCAAAGTTCTCTGTTCCCTTGCTGCAGATCTCACAGTAGATGGGAGAGAAATGGAGTATTCTTGGAGCAGTACAAGCTCTTCCTATTGTAGTGCTAGGTATTTGAGTGTAGTGGCTCTTGTATGGACAGCTAAGAACTGTTAACTTTACAAAAGACTTGGTTCTCATTTCTTGATGGTGTGTGGCTATGGGGACTATCACAATGAACTCCTGAGCTTACAAAAGTATGCTGCAATACAGTACAGAAGGGGATTGCAAAGCATGGCAGAGCTGGCCCAAGACATTCAGTTGCCTGATGTGAAGAACAGGATGGCAGTCAGTTCTGTTCTAGATACAAAAACTGACAGGATTGACATATACATATACAGGATTGACATATACATCTTCAGCACACAGGAGAGAACATCATCTTGACTAGCAGCTATAGGCAGCAGCCAGACTACCTTAGGGAGCGCAGGGCAGTCTTGTTTGTTTGTTTGTTTGTTTGTTTGTTTGTTTGTTTGTTTGTTTGTTTATTTATTTATTTATTCCTGCCCATCTGGTCTATTCGACCACTCTGGGTGGCTTCCACTGAACATATATACAATAAAAACACAGAGATTTTACATAAAAACCCATAACAAATACTGTACTAAAAACAAATAATAAAGAAAGAATAAAGGAAAATTAAGTATTGACAGGAGGGAAGGCCTGAGTGTACATCCATGTTTTTAGTTGTCTCTTAAAGGTGTCCAGCGTGGGGACCACACAACTCTCCAGAGGAAGGTTATTCTGCATGGCATACAACGCCAACACCTTACTAACAGCATCCGCTTCATTTACTTCTTAATGGTAGAGTTGGCTCTAACTTGTAGTAGGGGAAATGACAGCATTATCCACATACAGGGAAGATTTGTGCCCAAGAGAGTTTATAAAGAGACACAACAGGGAAGAGGAAGGGAATGGAGGCAGGAATAAATATGTAGAATATGTATTTTCTATAATTAGCAGTTATTGGTCACATTGGCATACTGGGATGAATTTAGTTTATACAGTATATGAAACAAATGCATGCTCTGTCTTACATCACAGGCAGCCTCTGGAACTCATTGTCCCAGGATATGTAAGATTATTGTAACATCGTTACATATAATAGATTGCCTCAGTAGGTCTTAATCTTGATTCCTTCCTTCCCCATTTTAACAAACAGCACCGGTGGATCTTTTCTGTATACTGTACTGTATTTGGTTGAAAGTAAATGGCTGCTATATTGAAACAAGTTAAAGAGGACCTCATAGTGACAGGAGGGCACCTGGCTATATTTAGAGTTCTGCTCCCTCAGGAGGGGTGATGTGAGTTTGGATATCAAATGCTGGGTATCAGACAGGTTTTGTTGTCATGGTAACTGCGGCCCTCTTTATTTCCAAAAAAGCCTCTGAAGCAGGACGTTGCTGTTGGTGTCTAAGCGGAGGGTGGGTAGGTGGGGTAGAAATGTCTTATAACGTTGCCAGCTTCCAGATTTTTCCTCCAGAGCCAAGGTTCAGGTGCAGAACACAAAAAAGGTCTGAACCAGAGGTGGGATTCAGCAGGTTCTCACCTATTCTATAGAACCGCTTCCTAAATGTACTATTGGTTCTTAGAACCGTTTGTTGGCCTGAGATGAATGAAGGAGGAGGGGCCAGGTGACCAGCGACGAGCGAAGGCCTTCTCCTTCCTACCACAGAGTAATCGGAGGGAAACCCCCTAAACTGGAGATCAGAGCTTTGCCCTTGAGCAAAATGGTTCGGTTCAGGTTCGATTTAGGGGCGCGGTGGACGGACCCCCTGCATGATACGGACTCCTGTTTGATTCGCTTTCTTTCTTTCTTTAAAAGGGTCCCGACCCCGCCTGTGCAAAGCTTAAAGGAGCTCCCGAAGGAAGCTCAGCGTCAAGTATTAACATCCGAACAACAAAAAAAAGCCTCCAATTCAGAACCAGTAAATGTCTGCTTAGGCTCTTAGGGAGCCTCAATTTGGCTGTCGTCGGTAAAAGGCAAGAGAGAAGTGCGGGGAGAGGGGACTTTGGATTTCCGCCAGGCTCCCGCTGCTCCCTCTCGAAGCGCCTCACCTGGGGTTTAATCCCGATTTAATCTTCCCACCCCCGCATTGGACTGTTAAAAAACACACACCCCAAGAACCCCTATTTATGCCGAGGAGCCCGGCAAGAGGGCGCTCTGGCTTTGAGTCGCCTTCGCGGTCTTGCCCGGAAGAGGCCGTTGCTGGGAGACGGAGCCACTCGGGCCCGCCACAGCGAGGGCGGCGAGGCGGGAGACTTGGGACCTCGGTGGGCTGCGGCCGGGGCTGAAGGGGAGACGCGGAGGGACGGAGGGAGCCCTCCCGCGGTATGTGAAGTTTAAAAGCAAACACGGGCGCCGCTCGCCTGGAGGGGAAATCCGAGGCAGGGGCGCGTCCGTACGGCGCGTCTCTCAGTTGGCGCCTCAAGGCTTCCCAATGGCCAAAAGCTTGCTTTTCAGCAGAGTCCGCCTCATCGTAGACGGGTGACCACACGTCACCTGCCCCCTTTCCTTCTGGATAAACTGCTGATCTTTGCATGCGCATCCCCGGACTGGAAAGATGGGAACCCAGAACAGGGAGTCAGGCCGAGAGGCCTCAGGCAGCCTCCTCCGAAAGAAGAGAGAGAATTTCCCTGCGAGCCATGCCTTTGGGGTGCTTGAATAATCCTAAGAGGTCCCACAAGGTCGAGCCCTAATAAAAGTGTCGCCAGTCTAGAAAAGCCTGAAAGGAAAGAGGGTGAGGTCAGCACAGAAGACACCGTGAGCAGCCTCTTCTCTGGTTCTCAGGGATGCTGAATCATAAGATGAATGTATTCCTGATGGTACAAGAGTATTTCTGTCATGGCTAGAAGTGGGAAGTGTTACTCCTAAGAGGTCCCACAAGGTCGAGCCCTAATAAAAGTGTCGCCAGTCTAGAAAAGCCTGAAAGGAAAGAGGGTGAGGTCAGCACAGAAGACACCGTGAGCAGCCTCTTCTCTGGTTCTCAGGGATGCTGAATCATAAGATGAATGTATTCCTGATGGTACAAGAGTATTTCTGTCATGGCTAGAAGTGGGAAGTGTTACTTTAAAAATTTAAAGTCCCCCCCCCCCATGCTGGTTGCTGGAGTTAGTCCTTTAGAGACATCTGGCCAGGCTCTTACGCTTTTGCAGACTGAAGAAACTGGGAGCAAATGGTCTGAAGAGCATGTGGTAAATGGAGGACAAAATCCAAGGACAGATTCATTCTTGGGGAAGAAATAGTGCTTGTCCAGCAAGGAGGAAAGAGATCGCACCACCAATTTTTTTGATGGAGAAATGCTCTGTGCCTCTGTATGATTGGTCAGCACATGACCAGTGACTTGCCAATTCTATAGATTTCTACTCTCTGCATGGCTGTAGAAAGTGTGTGTGTGTATGTGTGTTTACTCTCAAAACTATGGTACGTTTTGGTCTCTTATTCTTTGTCCCTCTGGCTTCTTCTGTTCTCTCATCCAGCAGGTGTTCCCAGCAGTCCCTGTCTCATCTGATGTATCCATTGCAAATCTTCAGAGCTCGGGTAGTGTGGTGGGAAAGCCATTGATGCTCGTTCATAGACTGACCTGGATTTAAGGCATCAGGGCAGACGTGAGATCTAAGAACTACAATTTAAAAAAAGTTAAGGTGAGGGAAAGGAAGGTGGAAGGAGATAAATCCTAGCTCTCTAAAATGTGATGATTTAGGACCAGCCATTAATATCTGAGCCTAATTCACATCACAGTATCCCTGGGAGGAGAAAAGAGGGGAGCCACGTATACCATCTTGGTTGAAGAAGAATTGGGTAATACATATGGAGCTGATGTGGGTAATGGATTAGAGGAGTCTGCACTCTAAACAGAGAGGTGTGTGTACAGTAACAGAAATGGGATTTAACAGTCAGGTCTGTCCCCTTTTAGATTAAATTGGCTTTCCCCAATCTTCCAAACGTGTTGGGCTACAACTTCCCAGTGACCATGCGGGATAGCAGATTTTGGAAGATTGGCTTAAATCAAATGCATGTTCCTTAGCTCATGTGGGTCCTCTCTCTTTGTCACAGTCCTCCCCGTTTTTCTAAGCACAGCCATGCCAAAGAAGAAGGGACGAAAACGGGCAGCGCTGACTGAAGAAGAACGGTTGCTTATGATGCAGCAGAAGCAGCTAGCTGAAGAGGAAATGAATAAAAAGAAAGAAGACATGCTGGCCCAGTTCCTAAAGGTATTATCCCTTCACCTGGACTTCAGGAGGATAGAACTACTCTGAGGCAGGAAAATTAGGGGTCGGGGTCTAATGTTCCACAGGAAAGGGAATGACATGTCAACAGTAAGCATTGTATGATAAGTAATTTGCATAGTGATGTTCAAATATAAGAAAGAAGTAACATTAGTTATGTAGGCTTACTGAAAATAAAAAATAATTATAACAGGAGTTTTCTTCTGTTGTCATTTAAGGGAAAATAGCAGAATCATTTAATCTTTGAGTGATTCCAGATGAAAGGATTTAAGCACATTCAATTAAAATCTTTTTTATTTTTATTAATAACAAACATAAAAACATAACAAAATATTATAAACATAGCAAAACATTACAAAATCTAAAGAAAACTAATAACACGAAGGACAGAATCAGTTGCATATAGAGCATTATATTGTCAATCTGTAATAATCTGTAACCGAGGCAGGGTGATTGCATCGTAAAAGACTAATCTAAAAATACTCTGGGAGAGTTTTGAAGAGTGATGCTAAGAATGCCATTTTGGCTAGATTGTCTGACTTGCAAACATCATTCACGCAGAATAGAAAGCAGGAGAGCAGCTTGTTTACTGTGTGTGCTCTGACCCTATGAAATGAAAGTGTTGTGTTGTTTGCTCCTCCAGGTGGAGGCAAAAGATCAGAACTAGGCTGAGGCTCAAGGGAAAAGATGCACAAAGCAAGGCAGGCTAGGACAGAACATACTGCAAGTTGCTGTATTTTGTCTCAGTATACTTTGAGCTCAGAACTCCCTCTTTTGGAAAGTCATGTTTGAAAGCAAAATCAATTCTAGTTTTTTTTTTTTTAAAAAAAATCTTTGAAGAGCTTTGGGCAAAAAACACCTTGAGACATGAGGGTTTGCCAAATGCTGTTTTGAATCATTGTGAGATTCGTCCATTTCCTTCTGCTGTTCTGGTTCTGTTGGTCCTGCCTCTAACATTGGTGAAGGGCAGACATGGAAGGTAAACAGGTAGGAGGAAGGCCACGGCCTGACTGACATAGTGGAGTAGTGGTTCACACTTCAAGAAGCATGAAATAGCTCAGGCTATTTCAGGAGAATTGTAATAGGCCTTTGAGCTGAAGTGAGGAATCTTTGTCTCTCCAGACTTTTTAGACTGCAGTTCCTAGAATCTATTTACAATTGGCCATATTGAATGGAATTTATGGGAACTGTGGGCCAAAATATCTGGAGGAACAGAGATTCGCCACCCGTGCCTTAGAGTTTATAGTGAATTAGTATGTGTTCCACAGTCCCCTGATTTTCTTGTCTCAGAGATTCGCCACCCGTGCCTTAGAGTTTAGCATGTGTTCCACGGTCCCCTGATTTTCTTGTCTCAGAAGCATTCTGACCAAAAATAAGTTTCCAGTGCTGTTCTCACTGACACTTCAGCTATTAAATAGAACCAATTGCCGCTCTTTGCACTGATGCCATGTAGACACGACTTGTGCCATGGAGAAGCAGCAGTGACTCTGTAGAGTCAGCATTGTACTGGGACCCAGATGGTATGTCACTCTGACATACAATTGCTTTTGCCAGCTGGCCTCCAAAGGCACCTGCAGTTTCGGTTGTCCTGGTTGCATATATATTTTCCAGCCCATCTGTAGGGTACAGGTTAGGAAAGATGGCCTCCAGTTAGTGGTGGATATTCCCTAAATTTAAAAAAACACTAATAAAATGTCATATGGTGTCTTTCCTAACACCTCCTAAGATACTACCTAAATTCGAAAGGACTGTTTTTTTAATACTGACCTAGTCTAATTTGTTTCATTGCTAGGAGGCATAAAGGACTGTTTTTTTAATACTGACCTAGTCTAATTTGTTTCACTGTTCCTCATACTTATTTAAGGCAAGACAGCTCAGTGGTTTAGGTATCTGACTGCAGGGCCTGAAGTTGGGAGTTGGATTCCCCACTGTGCCTCCTGTGAGTACGGCCAGTTGTGTGACCTTTGGCAAGCTGCACAGTCCCACTGCGCCCCCAGAAGTAGGGACTGCTCAACCACTTCTGAATACTCTGGACCTGGAAAAGCACGGGAAAAGGTGCCGTAAGTCAGAATTGACAGGACAGCACATGATTATTATTATTTAAGGCAGGGATAAACAGCCATGGCACTCTAGGTGCTTTTGGATTTCCCGTCAACCTTAAACATCACAGCCAACTATGTTGTTTCATCCCAAGAGAATGTGCTTGGTGATTCAGTTCACATGGGTTATTGTAGGACCAGTGTAGTAGTGTTTGGCTGTCAAAGAAGGAGGGCCCCAGTTCTGCTTTGCTGTTGATGGTGTTTATGTCTCCTCACCCTTGTTGGTTGTGTTTATGGCTCTTGTTCTTGGGCTGAAGGATAATCTTGTGATGTCTGGGGTAATGTAAGATTGTGGTCTACAATGCAGGAAAAGCTGGCCAAAGAGGAGCACAACAGCACTGTGAATTTACACAAGATCAACCTGCAGTGGCGCACGGTGCTCCGTGAAGTCAAGGCCAGGGAGCTGCGCAAAGACATTGAGATTCTGAGCCAGACCTTTGAACGTGTGGTGGACTGCAAAGACAGTGTAATTAAGGTGAGCCCTGGCCCCGAAAGGCCAGTAGAAGGGGACTCTCTGAGACAGGGAGTAGCTCTCCCAGAGACAGAGGCATCTTCTGAGATTTATTGCTGACATATGAAATTGTGCCCCCTAGAATAGGCTAAAGGAAAATTTATTTTATTTATTTATTTATTTAATTTATATGCCGCCCACACTACCCAAAGGTCCACACTACCCAAATAACAACATTCCTACATTCCAAGAATATGTTGTTTTCACATACTGTGGTTGCTTAAAGTGCTCCCAGTCACTTTTTAGGGCTACAAAGCCATATACAAATAAAATATAAGTCAAGATAAAAATATGTAATAGTCAGATTAGTAAGCATACAGAACATTTGGAAAATTGCTTTGATACTTAGTAAATTATTTCAGTTAAAGACTGCATTGAAAAAGGAAGGTGTTCAAGGCTTGCCTAAACACCTGTCTTGGAGAAACATGGAGATAGTCCATAGGAGCTATTTTGGTGCCACCCTGAATAAAAGCCTTGCCCTCGTGCCCCATCAGCCTAGTGGATCTTAATGTCCAGCACTCAAGAACCCTGAGGCAGAATTTGCAGCATAAATCCCAGTTAGACCTTAAATGCAGGGAGCCTTTTTTTTTCTTGTCAAGCTCTTCATTATTTTTATTGAATCTGCTCAGGCCACATATCCTAGTAATTGGCAGGCTCAGAGGCAAAGTTGGAAGATCTGTGGGCATGACTCTTACTTTTCTTCAGTATGTGATGCACAAAGCAGGGAGAGATTTAGATCGAGACATTCTCTCTCTCCATTTTATGCCAGTTTCCCTGTGGGTGGGCCACAGAATAGGACAAAGCAAATAATACCAGCAATGTGCAGAGGAGCTGGTGAGGGAAAGAGTCCATAGGTTCGAACGAGTGCCTTAGAGATCCACGTTTGGTCTGTCCGTGGAGCATTCAGTACTCCTGTTTTCATCACAACACTGGATTCATCCTGGAAGTTTACTGGTACCTCGTACTAGTATTTTGTTGCTTCACAACTGCTGGTTTCGTCCACATGATTCCTCTCTGTCCTTTCAGTCTCTTGCTAAGGATCTTTCTGAAGCAGAAGCTCAGTATGCCCATGCCCTGCGCAGCCACTTACACAACATTGATAAACTGCTACAACTACAGCGCTGCCGCCTGAACTACTTAGAGGAGGATTACCAGACTGAGCTAGCGGCATTGCAGAAGGAATTTGACACGGAGAGGTAGGAAAGAAGAAGAAAGGATTACAATTCAACTAGCTGTTTGGGACTATTGGAACTCATACAGGCCGCTCCTGTTTCCACCAGGAAGATGATCATAGAACATCACGAACAGGAGAATCGCTACCTCCAGGATGTGCTGCTGGCGATGGAACAAAACTTTGCTGACAGCGAGTATGAGGCCAGACTCGACTTTCAGAGTACAAGAGATGATGTTAAGAATAAGGTGTGAGTTAAGATGTGGGAGAGAAATGACATGTTGTGGCAAACTTTACTTTGGCTAATGAATGGGAGGTAGGTGGAGTAACATTCTCTATTCCAAGTTGAGAATGTTATTCTCAAGTTGAGAATGTTATGTTCCAAGAGAATGTTATTAGCAAAATATCTGTGGGTACATATTAGCAATAGTGTGCTCCTTAAATCTTCTTGAATACATAATTTTTAAATTTTTCAAGTATTTAATTGTAAGTTGGCATCTCATTTGATAACTGCCTGTGCAGCAGTGTTCTTCATTTTATTAATTTTGCACTCATCATCATCTTAGAATTGCAAGGCTTAGTTTCTTTCAAGTGACTTTTAATATATCACATAAACTAGCATAACCGTGATGCTTTGGTAGATTTTTGGTTTTGTTAACCAGATGAAGTGCAGGCAAGAGCTATATGGATTTACTTGGTAGAGCTATCATCGAAGTGGAACTTCATTCTGAAATGAAAAATTCCCATATGTACCATGTGCCTGATGTTACCACTACTTCTCCAATAAGCCTGTGTGTATTCCTTTGGCTTTTTGTCTGTTAATACTTCCCCTATATGCTCTGACAGGATTTCTTCCAGGGATTTGTGTAGTCTTCAGACATGGGGCTCTGGATCATAATTCTATGTAAGCAAAATACACTGAAGCTATTCCTTTCTCCTGCTATTCTTCTCATACATGCAGTTTTATTTTGTGGCTTAATTGGTTCACAGCCCACTTAAAGACAGACCTAGATACTGAAGGAAACATTCAGCCACCTTTACTCTTTCTTTCTTTTCTTTTTTTCTCTCTCCCCAGCGATACAACTCATGACCTTATTTCTTAGCATTGTGTGTTTCCAGATCTCCTCCCATATAATTGGCTGGCAGCTGGCCAAATGCACCTGCTGATAATGTCACATTGTGTTATGCTGCCTGTCACCTGGAAGAGAGAAGAAAGGAAACATGGAGTAATAGCAGCTGGCTCTGTATTCCTTGTAAAGTTAGTTCCATGATAAGATTCAAAGTACAGCTACACAGCAGATCCTGGCAGCTGGGAAGCCAAGATCATGGTTGCAATCACATGCAGGCCATCCTTATTTCCAGTGTTTGCAACAGTTCTTTAGCGACAGGATTTCTTGTAGGTGGAGCTTGAACTTCGTGGTGGGGAAAGGGGGGGACAGATATACATCCCTGTAGTGTGGCTGCAAGGAAAGTTTGTTTTTGCTTGAGAAAGGAGTTTCTGGCCAAATTGATCCAGTGCTTGGAAAAATTACATTCTTGGAACCTCAGCTAGCTTCTGGCTGGTAAATCTGGAAGTGAGAGCCCAAAAAAGTATTTTTTTTTTCCCTAAGCTCCTGACCAGAAGGAGCCAGTGAATTGGGTGCCTCTTGAGCAAGCACGAATGGGATTGGTGGAAGACTGATCCATGTTCCTTTCTACCCAGAACCTGGAGGAAAAGCATTACTTGCGCATGCAGCTGGAGGGCAAAGTGGAGGAACTGTGGAAACGCTTCCAGCAGGCCTTACGTAACTATACGGAGGCAACAGAGGACCGTAAGATAGCCTTTGAAGCGCTCAAACTCAGGGATGAGAAGAGCACCAAAGAGATTGAGAGGCAGATGAGGAAGCTGCAAAAAATGCAGGTGGGTTGTGTCCCTTTTTGATGTATCCAGCTAGGAAGGTGTTTGGGCCAAGAGGACTGCTGACAATCAGGCATCATTTCTTCTACTGTTGAGCTCTTCCTGAAACATAGCTGGGTTTCTCCAAAATCACAGTGTGAAAAACATCCCCTGGGACCTTGTTCAGCCATCTTTATCTCTCGGGGCATGGCTACACAAAGATCAGGGAGAAAGCCGGTGTGGGCCCCTTGGGAACTGCTGGGCTTAATTAGAACAGTTTAATCAAGCCTGGAAATGGCTCCTGCCAACATTGTGAAGTGCCTTAATCAGTGAGCCACTTCAGGATATTGGAAAATTAATCACTTCCACTGTTCTACAAAGGACAGAGGAAGGGAAAATTGTTTTGACTGCATATAGACCATTGCTGATGCACTGCATCAGCTATAAATAATAAAAAAAACAACCCACAACATTTTCTTTGCTTTCTCTTAAAGGGCTGGTGGAAAAACTGCCTGCCACGAAAGCCACCACCATGGATCCTATCCACACCAGAAAAGTAGAAGCCCCATGACAGGAGCCAGAAAGTTGTAGGTAGGAAAGCTCTGGGGATAGTTGGTGCACTCTAGCAAAGACGTCACCTGATTGCCATCTCTAAGAGTACAGCAACCAGCCCCTGCAGCACTCCAAACAACGGGCTGAATAGCCCGGGTAGTCAGCCTCTCTGTTTAATCATCTGATCTGTAGCCTGCTTCATACATTTGGCAGACCACAAGCAAATGACTCCCTCATGAGCAAGCGGGACTGCGGTTTAACCCTTTGCTTGGCTGGGCTTGCATATGGAAGCACTTTTTTTGTTGTTGGGAGCAGTGCTTTTACGTTAGTCCTACATTCACGGCCATTACCACTGCAATTTCTTGAAAAAGTATTTTTGTCCCTTCTGGAGCTGGTGTGGCCACAGATAAACGCTTAAGGTTATATGAAGTGTGTGGATAGTGGGTAGATCCTGGGCAGATTAAAAGCTTGGAAGTTGCCACATGGGCTTCTAGAAATAAGTCCAGAAGGGAGAACAATAACGTCCTCCAGTGTCTCATAGATTAATTCAGGGAGTTAGGAGTGACAAAAAATACACCAAGCCCCTGCTGTAACCCAGGTTTCTGTTCAGAAAATCAACTTTCTTTTTCACTCCACTTCACCACCAAACTTGGAAAAATTGGTTCTAAATCCAGAAAATACCCCAGGATTTCAGTAGGGAGCTGTTGCCAAGTCACAATGGCCTTATCCACACAATCATACCATTTTGTCTGGCAGAGGATCAGTTTTACTCTTGTCCTGCACAGGATTAAGGACATGATCCTTCATAATAGTAGCTTGGTGTGGCAGGAATGCCCTCTTCTAGAACTCACAGCAGCAACATTGAAGCTGGAAAATGTAGTTCTTCTCTTGAAGAGTGCACTGAGGATGATGACTTATTATCTTTTCAGCCATCAGCATTTCAGGGTTAATGATATTGTGGAGGTTTCATCGCTTGGAGATTGCCAGTCAGTGACATAATTCTACTGGCCTGTTTTGTGAATGTTTCTTCTTGCTTATTTTTGAAATACATTGATTTTATTTTTAAGATAAGTTTAGATTAGAAGCGCTGCAGTTTCAGCATGGAGGAAATCGTTTCACTTTTTTTTTTAAAAAAAAAAATGATTCCAAGAAAATAAACACTTTAAAAATGTACTGCAAGTGGATTGTTACTGATGGATGCTCACTCTGAAATATATTTGTTAGTCCGGCACCATAATATATTTGTTTTTCCATTTTGTTTTTAAATGCATAATGATCTCCTGAAATGTTTTACCCATTTTCATATTGTTGTTTTCATATTCTGCATAGGAGTGCCTATTTGACTAAGTTCGTTTTTAATTTGAAGTTACAAAAGTAGCACAATTATCTTTCAAGGCGATGTCCTATGGCTGTTCTTCCATCCTTATCCATCCTCTACATGCAAATTCAGTGCTTTATGGTTGCTTTCCAGCAAAGTTGGTGCTGTTGCATTCAGACAAAAAGGCAGTAGGGGTATGCTGTAATAACATGTGCAAATGACAAAGGTTTCTGCCATTTGCATCCACTTTGCCCACACATCTTTGTCAACTCCACGAACAGTTTCCAAGCATTCTAATTTCAGGGAACCCCTCCTGTGTGGATCTGTCCCCTGGGGGTCACTTAGGCAGGTGCCACTGAATCCTTGCAAGATTCTTCCAAGGGCAGATACTGGCAGAGTGTGGACTTCCAGAGATTGTTACATTGTGTCTCCCATCAGCCGTAACCAGCCTAGCCAAGGGCAAAATATGCTGAGAGTTGAATTCTGTAGGGCTGTGCTTTGTCCATCTGGTTCTTTGAGAGCAAAATACTGTAGCCACTTAATTACACCTCCTCCTGTTGCTAAATTTTCAGTTTGTAGCTGAGGCAAGGAAGACCTGAGTTGACAGCTGTATAACCTGGGGGAAAGTGACTTGAGGGCAATGTGCTGGTGGTAGGCGAGGGCTGAGTCTGTATGGACACCACGGGTGCCCAGGCAGGCGTGACTGTAGCAAAAATAGGCAGGGACAGCTCTCTTCGCCTTTCCCCTCTCCTCTCTCCTCGCTGTCTCTTTATACAGCTACTGCAGAGAACCTCCTGCAGCCTGAATCTCTCTTCCTGATTGTGGTCTGATTTTTCCCAGGACATGATCATCAGCCTGAAGAACAAGATTGCACTTCATGCACGAGAAAGTGAGGAGCAAAACCGGCGTGTCCGTGAGGAGAAAGAGGTGGTGCTGAAACAGCTGCAGAAGCTGAAATGCCAGATGAACCGGGCAAGAGCCAGGGCCCGCAGCCATTTGGCCAAGCTGACTATGGAGAGCAGCGGGGCACTCAAAGTGCTGGAACGTGTGGTGGCGAAGGTGCAATGTCCCATGGATGCCGCAGGGCACTCCTGGCTTGACCTTCTTCCCCCTCTTGAAAAAAAAAAGATACAGGGAGGAAAATGAAAGTGGGAAAATAAAGATGGTAGCGAGGAGTATATTAACTTTAAGTGATCACTGGGGGCCTTAAGGATTCCAGACTCCAAAACAAAGTCTAGAGGAGAAAATAGTTGTAGATGTGCTAACTTTGGCCACATATTTCTGGTGGGGTTCTACTCCCTGACTGGAACCAAGTCTCATGTAGCCTTCTGACCCTCAGCCTTTCATGTCCAGCTGGAAAGAGGTGGTCTCCCCTCTACCCATGCAGGAGGGTGCTTTCTAAGTTAAGGGGCCAAAAGAAGCCTTGGAATGATAGTTAGGTAAGGTGCTGTAAATTTGCTGCTAGATATCCCTAACTTCTGCCCTCAATGGAACTACAGACTGTACTGTAGTTACGTGGATCATTGCCCCTACCGAACCTAATGGAGAACAATGTCCAATTCTTATTGCTTCCTTTCACCTCAGGGAGAACTGATCCTTCGCCTGGCTGAAATGTGTCGGAGGTTGGAGTCCGAAGAGGAGAAGGTGCTGCCATTTTATGCTAGCTCCCTGAGCTGGGATGAACAGAGGGCTGCAGATAAGGTGGTCCTGGAGAAACCGGCAGAGCCACTAGCTGAGGTAAATAGCTTGAAGGTAGACACGGGTGGGGTACACCTCTATCTGCTTCACTGACAAAGAAGGCATTATCCTCTTAGTTCAGTGCCTGGATTAATCGCTTTTGGAAGTTCAGGATTATCCTGTTTCCTTAGGGCTTTGTCAGGTTGGCATTCACTGCTCTTCTGTTCCAGACCAGATGGGAGGGTTGAGGCAAAACTACCACGGGCAAGGGGAGGCTTTGACCCTGAGATGAGCAGCAGTTATGGGGAGATATTTTCACTGAGACTTTGGCAGGGGAGGAAGGTGGAAGTCCTAATTTTGATCAGATCCTTTCTCCAGTCCATGTCCCGGCCATGAATGGTAAGGGGAAGCAGGTGGCATGATTAGCTTCATGTGTAGTTTGATCTTCCAATGTTTGTTCTGTCTTTGGCTCTCTTCCCAGAATGCATCATTTCTGCCCACCCCCTTTATTCAAACAGACCTGCCTAAAGTGCTGATTTGATTGATTTATTGATTGGTTGGTTGATTGATTGGGTGCTGTTTCGCTGCTGCTGCCATCCAGCCACAAGAAATTATGTTTTCAACTAGTCCCAAGGCAGTTACATTCCCAAAAAAGCCTATTTAGATCTAAGACTGCCCAGGAGCTGAGTATTTCATGCAACACCACTACCAATTCCAAGCAGGCATACCTATCTGGCCACCACCCTGCCTGCTGCACACAGTAAGATAGGAGTAGCAGTATAATGACATGCAACTAGCCAGAGCTTCTGCCTTTTTTTAAAACAGATGATGCAGGACTATGTGGGTCTGGAGCGCTTCTGGCAAAGATACAACAAGGTGAGGCTTGAGCAGCTCTCTCTAGAGCAGAATAAAGAAGCCCTGCTCCAAGACAACCTCAAGTTAAGGCAGCTGCTCAAGCAATATCTAGATGGCATCTCAGTGAATGATGAGGTTCTGAGCCAGATCAATCCGTTAATGATTGTTAACCAACAGAGTATTCTTCCATCCCTGCCCCAGGCTGTGCCTGTGGGAGAGGCCCGGGTCAAGCGGCCTATCTATAATGTTATAGAGGCCGCGCAGGAGGTCTCACGAATCCTGTAAGACAGCACCTGGGGATTTCCAAGGATTTGCATCTGTCTTGTTGATGGGTCCCAACTGAACCAGAGACCTGTATTGGGACTTTTTGGAGAAGCCTGTTCCCAAGAGAAGTTGCCATGAAAGAATTAAACAGAGTTGAGCTGATGTGTCTAGGAATCTTTTCTGCTCTGCAAGTAGAATCGTGGGCAAGGCTTTTTATGTTATATCCAGAAAGATCTCAGCGCCACACCTATGCATAAGCTTTTAAAAACTCTACCTCTTGTTCAAAGCAAAGCAAGTGCATAAACAAAAACATGGAAAAAGCAAACCTGTTGTGGGATATCTGGTGTGACGCAAAGACAGAAAATGGGTGCTTTGAAACATGCTGATACTCTGCCTGTTTGTGCATATGGTTAGTTTGCCTTCCTCTTTCCAATTTGTTGCATTTTTATTTAAGTCTTCCTTCATTAACCCCACTAGACAACACCAATCCCGTATCTTGAAGCAATGCAGAAAAAACTGTACAATGTTACCTCAAATTTGGCAAATTTGCTTACACTTGTTTTGCAGCTGGCCATGTGGGAAGTAGTTTGGCTTTGTTTCTAAAGTAAAGCCTATGGGGTGAGGCTCAGGCACATAGTCCCTGAGGATATAATTTATACTGCAACTCCCCAATCCTGTGGACAACCTCATAAGTAGGAATATACATAATGATCTGCTGTGTCCAGCAGCAGGATTTAACGTGTGCTCTGAGGCTATATTCATATTTACTACCTTATGTATGCTTTGTGCCTCTTCAACCAGCACAGATGCTCCCAGCATCTCTAATTCACCCTCAGTTGTTTGGTGTGGGTGCTGAGATCTTCATTAGTATTTCTTAAATGCTATAACAGGGAGATGAAATAACTGTTAAAACTAGTTGAAGCTCATAGTGTACATGCACCTCAAGGATCTGAAAAGCTCCCTCAATGCAGACCTCTGTTTCAGCACGATCTGTATCACTGAATGTACACAGCTAATGGGAGTTCAGAATGTTTTAAACCAGTAACTGCTGCTCACAAAATATATTCCTAGATGGCCTTCAGTGTTTTACTAGTAACCGTTTCATGTACCTGGTTTCATGTCAAAAGCATTCACAGTAATGGTTCCTAGACAGCCTTTCCTGGTTAAAGGAAATTCATACTCCCAGCTGAAGAGGTCATTTCTTCCCATTCTAACCTCTGGGTGTTTGGCTGGAGGGTGTTCCACTTGCATTTATGTTCCCTAATCCACCCCTGCACGCGCACTTTCCATCTCAAGACAGAAATAGCCACAAAGCTGTATTTTTTATGTATATATAAAAAAGGTGGGGTGACTTTATTTCTTCTTGGCTTTGTTTCTTTTTTCCTCCTTGAGTTTCTTCTTCGATACCCGGGGTGCCTGGGCCTTGTGGTAGAGATAGTAGCCAATGAGCCCCAGCAGTGCTGGGACAAGCACAATGCTGAGCAGAGGTAGCACATCATTCAGCGTCTTCTGCCAGTAGCTGGCTCTGGAGAGCTCGACTAGCTCCACCTCAAACTGCAGGACTGCATCAGCTGGAGAGAGGAAGGAGTTCAGTGAGATATGGCTGGGGGTGGGGTTTGGGGCTGGAAATAGGAAAACTACCCTATAGGCAAGACAGAGATTGAGTAGGCGAATCATTACACAGGAAATCTGGCACACCGGTGTAATTCATCCTCAGCAGCTGAGGAAAAAAAACATGGTTTGTGCTTCTGCAGCTACAGGAGTAGGTCTCTATCAGACAAGGGAAACAAGAGTCGCCTAGTGCTATCTTCCTTTTACTAGGCAAAATCTCTTTCCAGCCCCCTCTCCAAGATTACCATAGGGCCCATTGTGGAAACTTTGCCTATTTGCAGGTTGTTGAATTACAGCTTCTACCAGTTCTCCCCACTGGATAGGCAGATTTAATGAAAGCTGAGGTTCAAGAATGGCCAAAAGGACACAAATACTATAGCCCTGGTGTAGGGTCACTCTCTGACTACACAGGAGACTGAAAGAGCTGCATTTACCCTCTTCATGTGGGTATCATGGTATGGCACAGTTGACCAGGAGATGCCAGTGCAGCAGTCCCCATAACTCTATATTTGTACTCTGGCTGATACGATTTAAAAATTGTCCCAAGTGATGACTGGATTGTCCACACAGTGTACCAGGCTACTGTGGCTGAGGGCTGCCAGCCAAGGCATAAGCAAGTGAAGCAAAGGTTTCTTAACTAATTGAAATTATAGTCTAACCCTTGGTTGATTCCAAGATATGCTTATTAACTAAGTTGATAAGTGGGTTTGAAGCATAGATGTGGTTACATGCAGAACGCATGGGATAGCCACAGAACAGAAAACAATGGTCTTAGTGATAGGTGATCAACCTAGGACTCCTTCAGCTGATGCCAACCACTTGTGACCCAGTCCTGGTACCAGCCAGCAGGCAAGATACCTTAATTCCTAACCTAATACAGTATTCTGAGCCAACTGTGTCTGGAATCACAGCCTCTCCACAAGAGTCATGTGTACTCATTTACACTCTGGCAATCTCTGGTGCTTCAACTTCCCTCACAAGCCCAATTCTCCCTTCTGCCCTCCCCAACTATTGTAGAGAAATCCCTTCTTAGGAGGCTCTCCAGTGACAGTTCACATGGAATTGTTTCACATCATAAGAATGCTGATAGTGCTCCAGGAAATGCCTGGCCCTCTTAATATTGTACTGAACAGGCAACAGTAAGGTGTGATGAGACCAACAGCATCTGCAATGTCTCTCCATCTCTGACCCTCAACCCCAAATCACAGCAAAGATTCCATATGAACATCTCTTGGGGAGACAAGTGGACAAGTAAATCTGTAAAAACATAGGCTGATAGGCATGTAAGAACATCCCCATCAGCCAAGAGGTCCTGCAGAATGCTCAGTGAGAAGGTGCTCAGGGACTGCCAGCCTACCTGGGACAGCTGGTGGGGAACCTCGTTTGCCATACGCCAGGTGAGGGGGAATGATGACTCTCCGCTTCTCTCTGTAAGAAAGCGGAAAGACAATGTCAGTTTCTCAGGGCAGGGCAGGACATCTGCACACACTTCTCTTGAATTCAGTGGGTTTTGTAAAAGGGATCTGTTGGGCATATATCAACTGGAGCTTTCGGTGAAATAAGCTATGCCGTCATCTTTGGTGGGGAGCCAAATTCAGAGGAAAATCTGGATAGACACGTCAGACCAGTTTTCCTGACTTTATAGGTTTGTATGGCTGGACCCAAAGCTCTTAAGCTTTATCATAGTGAATGTTCTCAAATTAAGAAATGAAGGATTTCTGAGTTTAACATGAGATTAGACACAGCAGTGGAACAAAAGAATTGTGACATGCATTAAAGTCTGCAAGAGAGTTTGAGCGAAGATATCTCAAATAAGGAAAAGCATTACGGCAATAACTTAACATATTACCAAGTGGAAAATTTCTCCATTTACCTTCAACATCAGAAATTGCCCTAATAAATATAGAACATATTTACACCAAATTTGTGTGTTAAGTTTAGTGATATACCAAACCTGCATGTAATAGCATTCCCTTCAGAATCCTATGAATTGTTCAGATTGCTAATATAAAGATTTACTGTCAAAAACCTTTATCTCAGTTTCCACTGCCAGCTTGTGAACTGAACAGTAGGTGTGGGGAGGGGCTCTCTATTCTGGCCATAAGTTGCTTACTCCGCCTGCACAAGATGGTGCAGTTCCCAGGAAAAGGCCATTGATGTACAGTCCAAGAGTGCAATCCTAGGCATGTACACTGGAAAGCAGTTCCCAATGAATCCAATGAAATGTATTCAAGAGTTAAGTGAATACAAGACTACTGCCTCAGTCTGTAGAATATATCCGTGCCACAGAGCTGGGTGAAACAGTCTGGCCCTGTTCATCTGAAGACTTACTAGTCACTGGGAAAATTTCAGCCATGATCCCCACAACCCCTAACAAGAGATTGTTCTAGTATGAAACAAAAGAGCTGCAACCCCCCCCCTTAGATCTTTACTACCCTTAGCCCTTTAGCTGATAGAGGAAGCCATGCAGCAGGTTTCCCTGTGAGCTCTGCACGTCTGCGGAAATGAGCAGTTCAGGCTGAGCTTTCAGGCAAGGAAATGGGAAGGCAAAGCACCCTGTGGCTTTGACAGGTACAGGGAGCCAGTCTTAAGTCTTAGGAAGCAGGGGATGCAACTTCGTAGTGGCTCTTAATTCTTCTGACCAGTAGACAAGGGCAGAACGTGTTTCTCTTCAGCTCTGCTCCAAATTTAAGCTGTGATTGCTTACTCGTTTACCATTGGAGAAGCTCCATTGACTCCATTTGGACTTATTTCTGAGTAAATACGTACAGCTATGCATTGTTAAAGTAAAATTATGTATTAAATATTCTACATGCCTGCTAAGGCATTATCTCTTTCAAATTTAGCAAATTCTCTATATTCTAGGCAGTGACCCAGCCACAGGCAAACAAATGTTGTAAGTTACTTACCCCACACACATGTCCAGTAGACCCTGTTCCAAGCCTGATGAGAAGGGAAAAAAAAGAAGAAACACGTGGAGAAGAATATCTGGGGAGATGGATTTTTGTGGCTCTCTGTATACTCAAGATCCTTTCAGGGGGAGGGATATTCACTGCTTACTGAAGACCTAAGTATGTCCTGATAAATTAACGTAGTACTGTTTTCCTTTAAACTTCTTCCCTTCATCTAAAACATTCTAAAAACATGGCATCTAGAACTGGACATAGAAACTGTAAGATCAGACGAATGAGGGATAAAAAGGAACTATTATTCCCATCGACACTTAACAGGTATGGTTCTAATAATCAGTCTAAAATCCCATTAATTAGCAATCACTCTCACTGAATTCAATGGCACATTTATAAAGGTTTGTGCCAAAAGCAGTTTTTGGTTCTTTTTGTGTGTGTTTTGGTAGCTGGCAATGGCATCACACTAACTCCTGTTCAGATTATGATCAACTACACTTCGGAAAAACATTTCACCCACATTGCTGTCTAGACGGACATTCCTCTATCCTCTACCTGTGTGTTCAGTAGGGGAAACAAAATTTCTTCTTCCATGCCTGTCTATTTTCCTTGGTCTATTTCCCTAACTAATCCCATTACCCAAATGTCCTGGGATGTTACCTGGGATGACTTGTCTTTTGCCCAGTTCCACTAGCAATGGGTCACGGGTAAGGGAGGTATCAATAATGCGGCCATCCTCAAGGGTACCCTGCAAAGAAATGCATTTGTTTATTTTATTTACTTTCCGCCTTACCTCCAGTGTAGGGACCCAAGGTGTCTCACAAATTATTAAGAAACAACACACCATGCATGCAGAGTGCCCATATTAGCAATTCAGTGGATGCTAACCAGACTGAGAGCTCAGGCTTGCCCAATTCCTAAATGGCTTTTTTAAAAAGCCTAAAAGAAATGTTAAAGAGAAGTGGAGAATCATATCAACAAAATTGATTAGTGGCAATTTTGTACAGAATAGGATAATTCCACACTATTTTAAAAATAAATACAGTAATTGCCTTAAGAAAGGCATACATTTCCCTCTCTCCCACTGAATGAAATGCCTCATAGCGGCTGCTCTGGCATACATGTGTATCACCTAAAAACAGTTGCTTATTTTAGCTTTATGCAAAAATGTTTATGCTAAAAATGTTCAAATTCCTTAATCAGCAAGAACTCATTTGATCAGTTGACTAGGATTAATAGGACGAAGGAGCTGATATAGCTCAGTGGGTCAGAGCACGTGGCTGCAGGATCAGGGCTGGGAATCCAGCTCCTCATTATGCTTTCCTGGAGAGGGACTGGCCAAGATCATCAAGAGCAGGTATAGCTGGTGGGATGACATTCCCTGCCACCTGTATAGCCTTAGGCAAGCCGCATGGTCCCTGGGAGCCACCAGAAGGAGGGACTTGTAAGCCCCATCTCCAGACTTTATAACCAGAAATCTCTATGTGGATCACCATAAGTCAGAACTGATCTGACAACACAGAATTATGAAATGATCAAGTTGACAAAGTGTCAAGTGTTCTCAGGTGTCAATACACAGTTAAGCCTCCTTTTGTTTTCCATGTGTAAGAAAACATCATGGCAATGCTATGACCAAGGATAAAGTAAAATGCTACTGAATGCCGTAGGACTTAGTCCCAGGCAAATGTGTAAGCTATTTACAGCATAGGGTTGCAAGCTTAAACTTTGAAAACACCTCACTCTGCAATGGAGAGTGGGAGTTTTCAATCACAAGCAGCAATAGAATGGTTATTTATGCTGCCACCTTAAGCAAAGATAACATACACATTTATGCATGCACAAACACAGGTGTGCACACACCTTTTTGCATGCACTGGTGCCTCTACGTGTCTTTATGGGTCTCTGTCCATGAGAAGCTGCGTTCCATCCTCACAGTTCTTTTTACCTGCAGCCCTCATTCCTTAACTCAGAGACATGAGGGGATGGGCTTTATGTTGCAGGGCATTTGCTTTAATTGTTTACAAATATAACTTAACATCCAACCCTTTAATTCAGTAAGAACTCACAGGGCAGTTTACAAAAATAAAACAGTGAACAGGTCAACTGAAAGACAATGTAAAACAAAACAAAAATAAAAAGAAGCAGGTGAAAGGAGGGGAAAATCACTACCTTATAACAATAGCAACTAAGAAGTTTTAAAGCCTGGATAAATAAATACAACTTTGACATCAAAAAAAGAGCTGGTATCCGGAGTGTGTCTTTGAGGTGTGTGGATGACTGCCACCGCTTCAGAAGGTGAAGGTCCTCAGACCGGGCAGTGAACATGTCAGCACTGGTTGTTTATGGGCCAAATGGAAGAGAAAACCTCATGCCACCATTTTGAACTGTGGACTGCCTCCAGATACCTACATGCTGACTTTCAGATGCCAGGCACCTAAAGCTCTCTATATAGGATGCTGTGAGTTACAACCAGCCTCCTTGAATCAGGCGCCAAAACAGACTGCCAGCTAGTGGCACAAGGCCCTCTGTCTCAGTCCAACTCATTTTTCCTCATGGGGGGGGAGGGGGAAGGGAGAGAGGCAACTCAAGCTTTTGAGGCAGCTTTCAAGTAATATAGTCCTGCTTCCAACATCTGGAAGGGACCAGAGCAAAGAGACCAATAGCCATGTTTTTTGGGGAAAGCCTGTTATCAGGAATAAGGATGGCCAATATCTCCCGGCCTCCGCCGGTTTTATTGCAAGCGTCTGGGGTAAAAACACACGGGTCTGGTCAGATCTGGAGGTCTGACACGTCCAAAGACAAGCTCAGCTGCCCCGTCTCGGCAAGAACGTGTCCTGGTTCGAGGGGCCTCGTGGGCTTCGCTTCGGCATTATAGCGTGTGCGTGAGGCGGACAACTGTGACTCCCTCCCCCCCACCCCCCAATGTGGTTTTTTTCCCCAGCCTGCGATGCTTATCAACTCCAGCTCCTCAGAGCCCGTGGTGAAGGATTATGGGAGTTGTAGTTCAAACTCAAAGAAGCAGATGGCTCGGCCACAGACGCGCGCTCTGGGCAAGAGTGTGGGCTCCAAACCCTCTCCCTTGCTGGCCGCCTCGGCCTATCGCGGGCGGATGGGCCCGCTCCCTCAGGTGGGTTCCCGCGTCCCCCCCTTGGAGG